ACAGGGCGAACAGGCACATCAGTTTTGAATTCTTCCGTTTGACCTGAAATATCATTTAAAATATACTATAATTTAATAGAGATTTGTTCAGTTTTTTATGTTAAAAGGTGGTTTTAATTAGTAGCTGATAAATTGTAATTTTTAAAGTTTTCTCAACAACCTTTTCATTCATGTTTTAATAATGAATCAAAATATTTAAGAATTATACGAATAAAATTTGAATGTTTATCGTAATTAAATATGTTGAATGTTGAACTTACTATGTCATTTATTATTCCTTACTCAATTATATCCAAACATCTTTAATTTAATTATTTCTTCATAGTGTGCCATAATAATTAAAGTTTTATAAAAAAAACAAAGAAATTCTTCATTGCTAATTTTTTTACTCGAGACTTTCAATGATTAAATCTATAATATTGTAAATTATGTGCGAATTTTAAGTTTTCTCATGTGTATGAATTATGTATTCATTGCCTGCTTAAAATCGCATTTTTTGAGAAAAACATATCATACTTTCAACCTAGATGTTTAGAATACTTTGAGTTGTAGCAGTTTTAATATTAAAAATGAAACCAATTTTTTAATTAAAATCTTACCAGTGCAACTGACGAATATACTCGTCATAGCTTGATTCTGACTACACAAAACAGTGTGCACATATAGAATAGTGTGCCACAGTAATCTGTTCAATAGTTAAATTACTTTAAATGAAGTTGTAACAAATGGTATTTTACACCGACTTATTCACTTTAGTGATTAAACATGTTTTATCTTTTCATTTTCATGAAACAAACATTCAATTAAATATTATAAAATATATCACTTCATAAAAATATAAGTATTTCAAAAAACATTAAATATACTATAAAATAAAATCTTTGTAAAATTATTTTCTCAAATTATGTTTAAACACTTACCATCTTCCTTCAGGCAACACAGAGCTTTGCCCATAAAAGTAAAAAACTCTCTGATGTATAAAACTTTATCACTTATGTACTCCATTGCAATTTTATTACTAATTACTATAAAATTAATAATTATACAGAAAAAATTATCTGTTACTTCTTAGAGTTTGATGTAATTCTTAAAGTTAGTGAAGTGTCTTGCTTCTATGATGGTCGCTAAAGAACTAAATTCATTTGAATTTCAGAATCACACTTTGCCGATCATAATTATTTTTATGGATCATAATTATTTTGATTTAAGTCAAAACACGTTGATAAATTATCATACTGCTTCATCGTATTTGAAAAGCTTCGTTTCATATTTTTAAAATAAAGTTGTTTTTAACGGACGTACTGCCATGAGCCATGAGCATAAACATGAAATGCTATTATTTAAAACTGATATGATATACGTTAAGATAATTTTATTATAAGACAAACGGGCAACTAAAATAAATCAACTGAACAAATATGAAGCAAACGCCGTGATTGACAAATGTTTTCGTCATGTGGAAGTGATAGAGATTTGTATATTGACGAGTATATTCGTAATGCTCTAAAAGAGTGACCTTTTGTTCAAAATTTTGATTTTGTATAAAAGTAATACTATATATTTTTAAATGTCAAGTTGGCTGTAAAAAATAAGTGGAATTTTGCTTTAACGCAAGTTGCATGAACATTCCGTAATAAGAAAATTATATACTTAATCAATAATAATTATTATTTACCAATTGAAATACCATTTTATCCCGTTTATTTTGAAACAATTAAATTTTCAATAAAAACTTATTTCCTACATTTGCTACTAATGCCATTTGATCAAAACGTCATCTTTTTAGCTAATATCATCTTAAAAAATATTTTTTGAAAGTACACTGGAAAATTTAGGATAAGATGAGATTTAGAATATTTAGATTTTATTATTTAAAATTAATCGTTTAAATAAATCTATTATTCAAAATCTACAAATAAATGTGAAATATTATTCAAAATTCTAGATTATAGCTAACTGAAACAAGTTTAGATAACTTCATGCATTTCTCATCAATGATATCACTATATGGGTTTACGCGTAATAAAAGTCTTCAATTACATATAAAAACAAGTGATATCAATTAACACATTTGTAACACATTTTAAATTGTGTATGGTTTTCAATATGGTAGATTAAATTTGATTGACAGAACGGGAGGAGTTCTAACTCGAGCACACAGGTTTAGCTCGGCCCCTTTGACATCATGGCCAACAAAAAAAATAAAAAGCATTTTGCTGAATTGTTCGTTTATAAATCAAACTTAAATCATCTATTAAATACATAACTAGTATTTCAAGATTTTGTATAATATTTAACTTCCCGTAGCATAAGTTATAGTAATCTCCAAATAATCGAAAATGAATTTTTTCATTTTTTTCGATTTAAAGGTTTCTGAACATTTTGGAATACCTGGAAAAAATGGATGTATGTGTGCGAGTGTATGTGTGTGCGAACACAAATTTTTGTCGACGATTTCGAAAACCCGGATCAACCGATTTGAATGATTCAAAAAACATTCGGTTTTTGTTGATAAGGAGACGTGCTAATTTGTTTTTGAGTAAGGCAGGTCCGGCTGTTTTGAGGATACGGAGCAAAAAGTGCTAAAAGTGGTAATTCAGGTTTCGAGGTAACGGAATGCCCGATTTAAATAATTCAAAGAAAATTTTATTTGTATTGACAAAATGAAGAGCTGATCAAATTTTTGGACAAGCAGGTCAAGCGGTTTCAGAGATACAATAAAAAAAGCCATTTGGAGATCAAAAATAAATACGAAACTTATGCACATCAAAATATCAGATGTTTTACAGAGGTTTTAATAATAAGTACAAATTTTGTCTATATTTCTAACGGTTCCGTACCAATTTTCACTTGTTAGACTGCGACTTTTTTCTCTACGCAATTAAAACAGCGCGATTACTTTAAAAAAAGTACAACATTTTCAAAAGTTTTCAACATATAAAAAGCAAATTAAAATATTTAAAAAAAGTCATTATTTTTCAAAAATTTCAAAATTATCAGAAATCTATTTTTTTCAAAGTTTTCAAAACATTTCAAAGCTTTTTCAAAAATTCTAAATTTTTGGTATGGATAGTTTCAGCAATTTGCCTTTTAAGGCAGGATAACCATGCACCACTAGTTTTAAAATGTATCATAAAACCACATATTAATTATACATCTTTGTAATATAACCATCAATTATCAATGCTCGATAATTTAACTTGCAATAATTATTACATTATAGATAAGAATTTAACTAATATGCACTTTAATATTTAATATAAACGCAAAATTTATTACAAAAATAATCTCATTTTAATACATCGTGATACATATGTGGTAGTTCAAATCGTTTATTTTTTATTTTCACTAGCTTTTTCTAAAATATTTTTATAAATTGTTTATAAACTGAAGAAGTGCCAACTATTAGAGTTAAGTTTGCTTAAATATGTTGTAAAATTTGTATTGTACTTACTTTTGGTACAATAATAAAAGTTTAATACACAATACAAACGGTGAACTATGTTCTCTAGATAAAAATGGTATTTCATATTCTAATATTAGATTAATATTTGTAACTAGTTGTAAGTGAAATTTGGCTTTAACGTGAGTTGCATTAAGCTTTCCAATATGTGTAAATAACTCATATTGAACAGTAGATAAAAGTGTGAATTTTTGCACGTCGCATTATTCAAATTAAAATAAAAGTTCATAAATAAATTAGCTTTTGTAGATGTCTAATATTTGAGGATATATAATGAAATCATTACTTATCTAAATTAATGTTATTATATAAAGTTTTATTAGTTCATTTCATCAGTAATTTTTAATTAAATTTAATTTCCCGCCTATCTTAACCAAATTCAAAATGAGTTTAAATGCAATTTTTCGCTTCCCGGATAAATTCATTCGTTCTGTTTATAATACTCATTGAAGCAGTGATAATAGAGATGATCATAGACAAACAAGTATAAATGGAGACGATATAAAATATATTCTCTAAAAACATTTGAAGTGAATGCCCCTAATTTCCATCGTATCCAGTGGTATCTATCTGTTAAAAATCGCAACGAAGAATTAGTATCCCTAACAAAAGATATCTCTACTGTTATAGCAAGGACGCACTCAAAGCAGTTTTAACAAATTAACTGTGATTGACGGATATACATGTCATGGAGAAGTGGTATAATTTTGTGTATTGACGAGTACATGTGTCATACGAATGAAACAGTGATCACTTGTTTCTTATATTAGAAGTTTTTTTTTAAAAAAAAAACGAATTATATTCTGAAAGTTCTGAAATGTCTAGTTGTTTAAAATATTTTCAGGCTATGACAGCATAAAGAAAGTAGTTGTAAGAGACAATTTACCTTAAGGAAAGTTGCATGAACTTCCCGGAATATGGAAATATTATACTTAATCAATAAGAATGAATTTTAGCTATTTAAATACCATTTTTTGCTATTTACTTTAAAAATAGTTTTTGCTTTTTATCAAAAACTATCCTTACTGAGTTACATTTACATCTAAATTCCATTGCATTTAATCCCTTTATAGTAATAAAATATTTTAATTTGTTGAATAAACCCATATTTTTCATCCTATATCTTACTAGCGCAACTTACCTTGTGATTGACAAATATACTCGATTGAGCTCGATATAGATGTCACAAATCTATGCGCACTGTTTGCTGTAAGTAAGGCTCGATGATAGTTTACTGGTTAATATATATATATATATATATATATATATATATATATACATAATTTATTAGAATTTATTTATTCATATCGTGAAAGTTACATTGCGTATCAAATAACAAGTTAAGTCAATCAGTATTCTACAATTCAAAATTAGGTTGTTACAATCATACACCAAGTAAAATAAAAAGTTTTATTTAGAAGTGTTAGTTAAACTTATAATATAAAATAATATATATTATCGGCTCTTGTTAGTAACAGTGATGATAATATTAGGGTCTAGAATACATAGGCGAATTTTGCAAAATCTCAGTCGAGAATCAATTAAATATATCAATCTTTGGTTTAGGGGAAGCTACAGGCGAAATACTTTTCATGGATTCTTCTTTAATGCTTTCTAATTTTCTTACCATCTCTTTAACACTCCTAAATTCAGTAAATGGTTGCGGAAGTTTTTGGGCTTCCATCGTTACGAATTTTTTGTCAGTCGGAATATTATGAGAATGTAAGCCTATCGGGAGCGGAAGATTAGCATGAGTTGGATTAGTATTGTCGGCATCACATTTGTTAATATCATCTTGATTTGTAGCTAAACAGTCAATATTATTCTGGTTTGTTGCCAAAAAGTCAATATCATTCCGATTTTTTACCAAAATGTCAATGTCATTCTGGTTTGCTGCTAAGAGGTCAATATCATCCTGGTTTGTTTCCGAAAGGTCAATATTATCCCAGTTCTCTCCCGAAATATCAACATCATCCTGGTTTGTTGCCAAAAGGTCAATATCATTCTGGTTTCTTCCCGAAAGGTCATTATTATCCTGGTTTGTTCCCGAAAGATTAATATCATCTTGGTTTGTGCCAGAAAGGTCAATTTTATCCTGGTTTGTTTGCGAAAGATCAATAGCATCCTGGATTGTTCCTGAAAGGTCAATATTATCCTGGTTTGTTTCCGAAAGGTCAATATTATCCTGTTTTGATCCTGAAATATCAATATCATCCTGGTTTGTTGCTAAAAATTCAATGTCATTCTGGTTTATTCCCAAAAGGTCAGTATCATACTGGTTTGTTCCTGAAATGTCAATACTATCCTGGTTCGTTTCCGTAAGGTCAATATCATCCTGGTTGGTTGCCAAAAAGTCAATATCATCCTGGTTTGTTTCCGAAAGGTCAATATCATTCTGGTTGGTTCCCGAAACGTCAATATTATCCTGGTTTGTTGTCGAAAGGTCAATATCATTCTGGTTTGTTCTCGAAAGGTCAATATTATCCTGGTTTGTTCCCGAAAGATTAATATCATACTGGTTTGATCCAGAAAGGTCAATTTTATCCTGGTTTGTTTGCGAAAGGTCAATGGCATCCTGGATTATTCCTGAAAGGTCAATATTATCCTGGTTTGTTTCCGAAAGGTCAATATTATCCTGTTTTGATCCTGAAATATCAATATCATCCTGGTTTGTTGCTAAAAATTCAATGTCATTCTGGTTTGTTCCCAAAAGGTCAATATCATCTGGTTCGTTCTCGAAAGGTCAATATCATCTTGGTTTGTTGAAAGGTCAATATCATTTTGGTTTGTTTCTGGAAAGCGAATATCGTCCTTAAATGTTGCCAGAAAGTCAGTACTAATCTGGTTTGTTGCCAAAAGGTCAATGTCATCCTGGTTGGTTGCCAATAAGTCAATATCATCATGGTTTGTTTTTGGAAAGTGAATATCGTCCTTAAATGTTGCCAGAAAGTCAGTACTACCCGGGTTTGCTGCCAAAAAGTAAATATTATCCTGGTTTGTTGGCTGAGGTATTTCTTCCATTTGAGGCACATTATTTTTGAATTCTTTCATTTGATCTGAAATATCATTCAATGCTATATTATAAAAATGTATATACATATAAGCATATATTTACTACTTCAACGACAATTAGCTCCAATTAGCTTTTGTAACAATATTTTTTATCGCAATAACGTCGTAAAAATCAGATATATTAAGGGTACCTAACTATAATTTAATGATTTTTACAAAGTTTCGTTCTGTTTTCCATAACAAAATGCAGCCTTAATTAGTAACTGACAATTTGATATTATTATCAAATAAAGTTTCCACTACAATCTTTTCACTTATTTTTATTAAAATATCAATTTTAATTATTTAAATTAACTCTGCATAGTGTTCCATAAAAATATTGAAAAAAAATTTTTCTTTAAAACGTATTTTCATTGCTATTTTGTTCACTCTAGCTTTTCGGACATTAGATCTATAATATTGTAAATTAGATGTGAATTTTGAGTGTACTAGTTATGTCTATAAATTATGTGACCACTGGATTTTTACACTAAATCTACCGTCTACCGTTTGTCATTTTTTTAAATCGATGATGCATATTCAAAATCTCAAAAAAACTATTTTTTATCAACAATGCCCATAAGTTCGTCAAATTGTCAAATAAAATTTCGTGAATATTACAAAACAACAAATATATTTGCATCAAATGTACATTTCAGTCTAAAATAATTGGTCAGTAATGCGATAAGCTATAAAAAGTATATTGAGAATGCTTATGGCCTATCTGTATAAATATTTAATTTGATTTGTTTTTTCTTTTATATTTTTTTTAGAAATTATATAATAATCAATTTAGATAAAACTCCATGGAAATTTATTCATTTTATGTAAATTAAACAATAAATCAATCATTATCTGAATCAAATAATAAAATAGATAACTTTTTAATTGTATGTCAATTCGACCGCGGACGGTAGGTATAGGTATACATGAATTGTAGGTTGGTTTAGTGTTAAATCGCTTTATTTGAGAAAAACACAACATACTCTCAAATTTCATGATGTTTAGTATACTTTGAGTGTGCCGCTAAAATAAAAATCTTTAATTCTTGCTTTCATAGATATGTGTAAGATTGAACTCAACTTCCAATTTTAAAAATTAAACTAATGTTTTTCACCCGATATCTTATTAGCGCAACTTGACGAATATACTCGTCATATCTCGATACAAAAAACAGCACATTTAAAATAGAGAGCCACAGTTCACTCGTTAATAATTAAATAATTTTAAATAACATTGCAAATGATGGTGTTTCACATTGGTTTACTATAGTATTTAAATATGATATACCTTTTCATTTTTACGAAACGAACTTTCCATAATTTATTATAAAATATGTACCACATTAAAATATCAGTATGTGATAAAACCATTAAACGTACTATGTAATAATATCTTTTTATAATTATTTTCTCAAATTATGCTCAAACACTTACTTGCTTCCTTCTTACAAGGCATGGTTTTGCCAATAAAAGTAAAAAACTCTCCGATGTATGAAAATTTATCCCTGAAGAACTTCATTGCAAATTTGTTAATTATTAATAATTGTAATAATGAAAAAAAAACTAACTGGTACTTGTTAGAGTTTGATGTAATTATTAAGGTTAGAGAAGTGTATTGCTTCTATGATGGTCGCTAAAGAACTAAATTCATTTGAATTTCAGAATTACACTTTGCCGATCAATTTTATCCATCATAATTATTTTGATTTAAGTCAAAACACGTTGATAATTTATCGTACTGTACGATCGTATTTGAAAAGCTTCGTTTCATATTTGTAAAATAAAGTTGTTTTTACGGAACGTATTGCCATGGGCCATGAGCATAAACATGAAATACTATTATTTAAAACTGATATGATATGCGTCATCATATTTTCAATTTTTTACAATCATTTATAATGATAATACTCATGTATTTTCACAAAACTTTAAAGATAATAGAGGGTTTTGTTAATCACAATTGGCTAGTACTAAAAAAATCCAATTATATTATAAGGCAAACGGGCAACTAAACTTGTTACTTCAATCAACTGAACAAATGTGATTCAAACACACGATATATTTAATATAATTATATTTATATAATATAGTAATTTAGTGTTCAATATCTTTTTTTTAGCCAGTTGACCGAGATTGGCAAGCGTTTTCGTCCTGTGGAAGTGGAAGATTTGTGACGAGTATATTAGTAATGCTCATAAAACTTTCTGTTCAAAAATTTATTTTGTAAAAATGCAAGTTGTGTTGAGTTGCATGAACTTTCCGTATTAAGAAAATTATATTCTTAATTAATAATTATTATTATTTACCTATTGAAATACCATTTTATCCTGTTTATTTTGAAAGAAGTTTAGGCTTTTCATTAAAAACTATTTCATCTCCAACATTTACATGTATAATATTTTATTGAATTTAGTCCGGTTTTAATAAAATACTTAGGGGCTGGTTGTAACAGTTTTTTTAAACTAATGTATTTTAATCAAAATGTCATTTTTTAGCTAATATTTTCTTAAAAAATATTTTTTGAAAGTACACTGGAAAGTTTAGGATAAGATGAGATTCAGAATATTGAATAGATTTTATTATTTAAAATTTTATTTTTCAAAAATACGTGAAATATTGTTTGAAATTATTAGATTTATAGCTAACTGAAACAAGTTTAGATAACTTGGCAGTTCTCATCAATGATATCACTATATGGATTAACGCGTAATAAAATTCTTCAATTACATATGAAAACAAGTGATATCAATTAATTGTTTTTCCATTTGTAATACATTTTAAATTGTGTATGGTTTTCAGTATGGTAGATTGAATTTGATTGACAGAACGGGAGGAGTTCCAACTCGAACACACAGGTTTAGCTCGGCCCCTTTGACGTTCATGGCTAACAAAAAAAAAAAAATAAAAAGAATTTTGCTAAATTGTTTGTTTATAAATCAAACTTATATTGTCTATTAAATACATAACTATTATTTGAAGATTTTGTATAATATTTAACTTCCCGTAGCATAAGTTATAGTAATCTCCAAATAATCGAAAATGTTTTTTTTCATTTATTTGTACGTTTCAAAAGTTTCTGAACATTTTGGCATACCTTAAAACAATGGATGTATGTGTGTGTGAGGATACAAATATTCGTCGACGATTTTGGGAACACGGTTCAACCGATTTCAATGATTCAAACAACATTCGATTCCTATTGATAATAAGATGCTCAGTGGCGTCGGAAGCAAATTTCTGATTCTTTTTTTTTGATAGACAGGCAGTCTATCATTTTTTTTGAGGTAACGGAACGCAAAATTTAAATCATTCAAAGAACATTTTATTTGTATTTACACAATGAAGAACTAAATTTTTGGCAAAGCAGATCTAGCGATTTTGGAGATCCAATAAAAATAAATAAAAAGATATGCCATTTGGAGGTCGAAAATGAATATGAAACTTATGCACATCAGAATATCAGATATTTCACAGAGATTTTAAAAATAAGTACAAACTTTGTTTATATTTCTAACGGTTCCATTCCAATTTTCACTAGTTAGACTGTGGCATATCCCTTACGAGATTTAATTATTTCCTTTACGGAATTAAAACAGCGCAATTGCTTTGAAAAAAAGACCAAAATTTTCAATACTTTTTAACATATAAAAAACTAAATTAAACTAAAATTCTAAATTTTTGGTGCTGGAAGTTCCATCAATTTGCCTTGCACCACTAGTTTTGAAATGTATCGTAAAATCACATTTTAATTAACTTCCCGTAGGGTAAGTTATAGTAATCGCAAAAAAATCGAAAATGAAAATTTTTATATATCTTTACGTTTCAGAGGTTTCTGAATATTTTGGCATACCTTAGAAAAAATGGATGTATGTGTGTGTGTGTGTGTGTGCGTAGTATGTATATGTGTGCGGATACAAATTTTCGTCGACGATTTCGGGTACACGCATGAAGCAATTTGAATAATTTAAGAAACATTCGATTCGTATTGATAAGGAGATGTGCTGATTAGTTTTTGGCGGAGGTAGGTCTAGCCGTTCCGAAGATATGGGGCAAAAAGTGACAAAAACGGTACCTCAGTTTTTAATAGAACGGAGCGTCCGATTTTAATAATTCAAAAAACATTTTACTTGTATTGACAAGATGAAGATTTGATCAAATTTTTATAAGGGCAGGTTTAGCGGTTTCGGAGATACAACGAAAAAAGTAAAAAAAAATGACATTTGGCGGTCAAAAATGATCATTAGACATATGCACATCAAATTATCAGATATTTTATAGAGATTTTAACAATAAGTATAAATTTTGTTTACATTCCTATAGGTTCCGTACCAATGTTTACCCGTTAGACAGCGACGCTCTATGCATTTAAAGCAGTATTTTGTCTCTATGCATTTAAAGCAGTACGATTGCTTTGAAAAAAAGTTCAGATCTTCCAACATATGTCAAAATAAAGAAAACATTTTTTTTCAAAAAAAAAAAGATTTGAAAAAAAAAAATTTTTTTTTTCAATTTTTTTTTTCAAAAAAAAGTAATTTTTTGTCAAGTTTATAGTTTCTCAAAAATCTTATTTTTTCGAAGTAATTTTTTTTCAAAAATGTTAATCGTTTTTAAAAAAAATAATAATTTTTGGTACGGGAAGTTCCAGCAATTTGCCTTAAGGCACGATGCCCTAATTGCCTTAAGACAGAATTCCACTTACAGCTAGTTAGTGTTCATCAGCTTCATTTTTGAGTTTCTGGCGGTTTTAACCAGGAAAGCATATGAGTATTAAAATAATTATTATATGGCGTTATATTTCGCTATATTCCCTACAATTAATTTCCAATTCGGACCCTCTATCTGCCTCACACGCCGAGCAATCGTCAAAAGAGTGAGAATTTTTTTTGGTACTTTTTAACACTGCAAAATTTCAAATGCGAATATCTCGAAAACTAATAGACCAAGTGTCATAAAATTTCCACAGAATTTTACTAATAATATTGTGCATAAACACTATTAGTTTTATCGAAATCCGAGATGATTAGACTTTTTCATCAAAAATTTTTTAGTGTATTTGATCAGCTTCATTTTTGAGTTTCCGGCGGTTTTAACCAGGAAAGCATATGAGTATTAAAATAATTATTATATGGCGTTATTTTTCGCTATATTCCCTACAATTAATTTCCAATTCGGACCCTCGGAGATTTTAACAATAAGTATACATTTTGTTAACATTCCTATGGGTTCGGTACCAATGCTTACGCGTTAGACAGCGACGCGGCGCTTACGCGCTTTATATTTTGTCCCTATGCATTTAAAGCAGTACGATTGCTTTGAAAAAAAAAGTTCAGATCTTCCACAATATGTCAAAATAAAGAAAAAAAAAATTTTTTTCGAAAAAAAAAATTAAAAAAAAATTTTTTCAAAAAAAAAAAAATTAATTTTTTTTTTTTTTTAATTTTTTTTTTTAAAAAAAGTAATTTTTTGTCGAATTTATAGTTTCTCAAAAATCTTATTTTTTCAAAGTAATTTTTTTTCAAAAATGTTAATCGTTTTTAAAAAAATAATAATTTTTGGTACGGGAAGTTCCAGCAATTTGCCTTAAGGCACGATGCCTTAATTGCCTTAAGACAGAATTCCACTTACAGCTAGTTATACATCTGTGTAATATAATAACAAACAATTACCAATTCTCCCTAACCAAACTTGTTATAACTCTTACAATATAGACAAGAAATTAACTAATATGCACTTTAATATTTAATAAATATATTTAATATAAACGCATTTTTTTAAAAAACTTTAAAATCTCATTATATATATTTTGATACATATAAGGTTTGGTTCAAATCGTTTTCATTATACGAAGGTTTATTAGTTCATTTGATCAGTATTTTTTTCAATTCAATTAAATTAAAAACGCCCAATTATTTCTGGAAAAAATAAACCAGAAAACATACAATTATTTCTGGCAAAAATAAACTATAGGTGAAACTAGCTGTAAGTGGAATTCTGTCTTAAGGCAATTAAGGCATCGTGCCTTAGGACAAATTGCTGGAACTTCCCGTACCAAAAATTATTATTTTTTTAAAAACGATTAACATTTTTGAAAAAAATTTACTTCGAAAAAATAAGATTTTTGACAAACAATTAGACTATAATTAGAATTTTTTTTTTTTAATTTTGTTTTTTGAAAAAAAATGTTTTCTTTATTTTGACATATTTTGAAAGATCTAAACTTTTTTCAAAGCAATCGTACTGCTTTAACTGCATAAAGACGAAATATCAAGCCGCGTCGACGTCTAACGCGTAAACATTGGTACGGAACCCATAGGAATGTAAAGCAAATTTATACTTATTGTCAAAATCTCTATAAAATATCTGATAATTTGATGTGCATATGTCTAATGATCATTTTTGACCGCCAAATGACATTTTTTTTTTACTTTTCTCGTTAGATCTCTGAAACCGCTAGACCTGCCTTTATGAAAATTTGATCGGTTGTCCACCTTGTCAATACAAGTAAAATGTTTTTGAATTATTAAAATCGGACGCTCCGTTCTCTCAAAAACTGAGTTACCGTTTTCGGCATTTTTTCTTCGGAACGGCTAGACGTGACTTCGCCAAAAACTAATCAGCACGTCTCCTTATCAATACGAATCGAATGTTTCTTGAATTATTCAAATCGGTTGATTGGTGTTCCCGAAATCGTCGAAAATTTGTATCCGCACATACATACACACACACACACACATCCATTTTTTAATTTTAATCTAAGGTATGCCAAAATATTCAGAAACCTTTAAAACGTCGAGAAATGCAAAAATTTTCATTTTCGTTTTTTTTGAGATTACTATAACTTGCCCTACGGGAAGTTAATAATATGAAAATAATCACTATAAGATATTTTCTACAGTATGTAGTATTTCTATGCGCAGCATTGAAGAACTTGGCTCATATATAATTTGAATCAAAATTGCGTATATGGTAAATATAAGCTTTAAATGCAATTTTTCGCTTCCCGGAAAAATTCATTCGTTCTGTTTATAATACTTATTGAAGCAGTGATAATAAAGATGATCATTTACAAACAAGTAAAAATGGAGATGATATAATATATATTCTCCGAAAACATTTGAAGTGAATGCCGCTGCTTTTCATAGTAGCCAGTGCTACCTATCTGTTAAAAATCGCAACTGAAGTATTTGTATCCCTAACAAAAGATATCTCTATTATTATATCAAGGACGCACTCAAAGCAGTTTTAACAAATTTACTGTGATTGACGGATATACACGTCTTGGAAAAGTGGTTGAATTTCGTGTATTGACGAGTATATTTGTCATACGTATGAAACTGTGATCAGTTTTTAAATTGAAAGTTTTGGAAAGAAAACTAATTATATTTTGAAAGTTCTGAAATGTCTAGTTATTTAGCATATTTTCAGGCTATGACGGTATAAAATAAGTAGTTGTGAGAGACAATTTACCTTAAGGCAAGTTACATGAACTTCACGGAATGTGGATACTAAATCAAGAAGAATGAATTTTAGCTATTTAAATAACATTTTCTGCTATTTATTTTAAAAATAGTTTTTGCTTTTTATCAAAAACTATCCTTATTGTCTTACATTTAAATGTAAATTCCATTGCATTTAATCCCTTTATAGTAATAAAATATTTTAATTTGTTGAATAAACCCATATTTTTTATCCTATATCTTACTAGCGCAACTTACCTTGTGATTGACAAATATACTCGATTGAGTTCGATTTAGACGTCACAAATCTATGCGCACTGTTTTCTGTAAATGAGGTTTGATGATAGTTTACTGGTTAATATATATGTAATATATAACTTATTAAAATTTATTTGTTCATATTCAGAAAGTTACATTGCGTATCAAATAACATGTTAAGTTCAATCAGTATTCTACAATTCAAAATTTGGTTAGTACAATCTTATACCAAGTAAAATAAAAAGTTTTATTCAAAAGAGTTAGTTAAACTTAAAATATAAGATAATATATATCATCGGCTATTGTTAGTAACAGTGATGAAAGAGTATATTAGGTCAGAATTCATAGGCGAAATTTTCCGAAATCCCAGTCGAGAATATATCAATTAAATATATCAATCTTAGGTTTAGTGGAAGCTACAAGCGAAATATTTTTCATGGATTCTTCTTTGACACTTTCTAATCTTTTTACCATCTCTCTAACACTCCTAAATTTAGTAAATGTTTGCGGAAGTTCTCCGGCTTCCATGGTTACGAATTTTTTGTCAGTCGGAAGGTTATGAGAATGTAAGTCTATCGGGAGCGGAAGATTAACATGAGTTGGATTAGTATTTTTGGCATCACATTTGTCAATATCATCCCGATTTGTAGCTAAACAGTCAATATTATCCTGGTTTGTTGCCAAAAAGTCAATATCATTCTGATTTTTTGCCAAAAAGTCAATGTCATCCTGGTTTGTTCCCAAAAGGTCGATATCATCTTGTTTTGTTCCCGAAAAATCAATAATATTCCAGATTTCTCCCAAAATATCAATATCATCCTGGTTTGCTGCAGAAAGGTCAATATCATCCCAGTTTTCTCCCGAAATATCAGTATCATCCTGGTTTGTTCCCGAAAGGTCAATATTATCCTGGTTTATTAGCGAAAGGTCAATATCATCCTGGTTTGTTAGCGAAAGGTCAATATTATCCTGGTTTGTTCCCAAAAGATTAATAATATTCCAGATCTCTCCGAAAATATCAATATCATCCTGGTTTGTTGCTGAAAGGTCAATATCATCCCAGTTTTCTCCCGAACTATCAGTATCATCCTGGTTTGCTTCCGAAAGGTCAATATTATCCTGGTTTGTTAGCGAAAGATCAATATCATCTTGGTTTGTTCCCGAAAGATCAATATTATCCCAGTTTTCTCCCAAAATATCAGTATTATCCTGGTTTGTTCCCGAAAGGTCAATATTATCCTGGTTTATTAGCAAAAGGTCAATATTATCCTGGTTTGTTAGCGAAAGGTTAATATCATCCTGGTTTGTTCCCGAAAGGTCAACATTATTCTGATTTGTTGGCTGAGGTATTTCTTCCATTTGAGGCACATTATTTTTGAATTCTTCCATTAGATCTGAAATATCATTCAATATTATATTAAGTAATTTTTACGAACATACATGCACATATTTACTACTTTAACGACAATTAGCTCCGATAGTTTTACAACATTATTTTTGCCACAAATCGTAAGTATCAGATTCGTTCTGTTTTCCATAACAAAATGCAGTCTTAATTTAGTAACTGACAATTTGATATTATTATCAAATGAAATTTCCACTACAATCTTTTCAACGTAATATTTATAAACGTATTTTTATTGCTATTTCGTTTACTCTAGATTTTCGGACATTAGATCTATAAGATTGTAAATTATATGTAAATTTTGAGTGTACTCAGTATGTGTATAAATAATGTGACCACTGCTTAATTAAAATCGCTTTTTTGAGAAACACACAACATAATCTGAAATTTCATTTAGAATACTTTGTGTAGGCCGCTAAAATAAAAAAATGTGAAACTACAAAAATTTAATTTACAATTTTAATTCTTGTTTTTATAGATACGTGTAATATTTAATTGAACTTTCAATTTTCAAAATTAAACCAATATTTTTCAACCAAGTTCTTATCAGCGCAATTTAACGATTTAAAATAGAGAGCCACAGTTCACTTGTTTATATTGGTTTACTTCGGTATTTAAATATGATATACCTTTTCATTTGCATGAAACGAACATTCTATAATTTATTATAAAATATATAGCACATAAGAATATAAGTATGTCATAAAACCATTAAATGTACTATGCAATGATATTTTTTTATAATTATTTTCTCAAATTATGTTCAAACACTTACCTTCTTTCTTGTTCCAACACAAAGCTTTGCCAATAAAAGTAAAAAAGTCTCTGATGTATGAAAATTTATCACTGAAAAACTGCATTTCAATTTTGGTAATTATTAATAATTGCAATAATGAAAAAAACTAACTGGTTTTTGTTAGAGTTTGATGTAATTATTAAAGTTAGAGAAGTGTCTTGCTTCTATGAAGTTCGTCAAAGAACTAAATTCATTTGAATTTCAGAATTACACTTTGCCGGTCCATTCATTTTATTGATCATAATTATTTTGATCCAAGTCAAAACAGTTGTTGAATGATCGAACTATTCGATCGAATTTGAAGATATTTGTAAAATAAAGTTGTTTTTTACCGGACGCATTGCCATGAGCCGTGTGCATAAGCATGAAATGGTATTATTTAAAACTGATAGGATATACGTCATCACAATTTCAATTTAAATTTAATAATTTTTAGTTGAAAACTTATATCAAAGTATATTCAAAAAATTTTCACAAAGAAAATTATTTTTTTCAAAAAGATATATTGAGTGATTTTTATGAGAAATTTTATTTGAGCTAACTGAAAGAGACAAGAAAACCCTGCTTTTATTGTTTCGCGAAAACTGGGTTTCGCGAAAACCAAACAATTGAATTTCGGATCAGTTTTTCGGAAGCGTTATTATGTGTTTCTTGAAGCAGTTACCGATGATTGACGAATATACTCGTCATGGGGAAGTGACAGAAATTTGTGTATTGACCCAAGATAACTTAGAAATAAGGTTTTAAATACAGTTGTTACCCTGCATTCTTCCGCCAAATCTTTGGACTCATTTAGCAAACTATAATATTTGATCGAATTTATATTTCTTAACTCGCACAGTCTATTCGAAAATTGCATAATTAAGCTATAGTTTCCTAGGTTATTATTTTATTGATGCAGAGATATAGAAGCAAGATTAATGATTTCAAATAAAGAAAAAATTAAGTGACAAGCACTAAGAAATCATAAATTATTTTTTTCTTAAATTAAATTAAATTGCTACAAAGTTTTCATGATTAATTTGACTTTTGTCAATTATGAAATAAAACTACTTTTCTATCACTCACGAGCTGTTGTGCTAGAATTTCTCTTTTTACGACGTATTTAGATGTAATGAATATTATAAAGCAATGTTTAACTTCGCTAGAGTATAAATAAATTTTATTAGATTTTATCAAAAAAATCGTTCTGCAAGTTTTTGTTCTTGTAACTTTTATGCAGATTAAATAAACAAAATATTTTAAATTTTCTATCAAGAAGACAAATTTAACCTATATAGAAGAGCGAATCAAAATTTCTTAATTTAGTCATCTATAGTTTAAGAAATAACTGCAATTTTGTTTCTAATACAACTGTAATAACACTGTTCTAATAATCCAATACAAAATTACTATTACAAGTATATAATCCCAAAGGGTTAACATTGGGAATGTACAATAAAATTTTTCAATGAGCTCGATTCGGACGTTACAAAATATGCGCATTGTTCGATGTGAGGGATGTAGTTCAGTGGTTATTATATGTAATATAATAAAATTTATTTATTCATATTATAAAAGTAACATTCCATATCAAATAACATGTTCAGTTTTGCAATCAGTATTCTACAATTCAATTCGGTTACTTCAGTCTTAAACATTATAACATAATAATGTTTTAAATATGTATTACTTAAAAGTTAAACATATAAGATACTATATATCATCGACTCTTGTTGGTAACAGCGATGAACAGGAATATTAGGTTCAGAATTCATAGGCAGACTGTTTCGAAATCTCAGTCGAGACTCAAGTCAAGATCTAGAATATCAACAATCCTAGTCCTACAATTAGTAAATCGTCGAGGAACTTTTCCGGCTACCATGGTTGCAAAATTTTTGCCGGTCGGAATATTATGAGAATGTATATCTTCCGGGAGTGGTATGCTAATGCATTTGTTTGCATACGTTGGATTAGCATTGTTGGCGTCACATTTTTCAATATCATCCTGGTTTATTGCCAAACAATTATTATCTTCCTGGTTTGTTGCTAAGCAATCATTATCATCCTGGTTTGTTGCTAAACAATCATCATCATCCTGGTTTGTTGCTAAACAATTATTATCATTCTGGTTTGTTGCCAAAATGTCAATATCATCCTGCGTTGTTGACGGAGGTATTTCTTCCATTTGAATGCACTCTTCCAAGACCAACGTGCAAATCGATTGCATGACAGGCTGATGAGGCACATAATATTTGAATTCTTCGACTTGATCTGAAATATCATTTAAAATAATTTTAAATTTACATACATATATGCACACATTTAATAATTTATCAACAATTAGCTTCATAAGTTTTTGACATCATTTTCATCGCAAACGTATATAAAATTATATCAACCAGTTGCCTTAAGGATCAGGCATATGAAGAGTACTTATACAATAATATAATGATTTACATAAAGATTCATATTGTTTTACATACCAAAACGCGGTTCTATTTAGTAGCTGATAAATTGTATATTCCACTACCATGTTTTCACTCATTCTCGACTCAGCAGTCGATCCGACAACTCTCGGTAAACATTAAATCGGTCTCGGATTTATTCAAGTGAAATACCATTTGTGAATAGTTTAGAGCACAGTGAAATAAAATAAGTGTAACTGGTTTTAACATAAGTACAATTTATTAAATTATGTTCCCCATTAATGGGGAACACACAAATTTATCAGTACCTATTGCGGAAGCGTATCGCACATTAAATGATACTGAATATGATCCAGAAACTGTAGCCATGGCAAGTACCTCCAGCAATCAACTCACGCACAATCAACCAATCCAGTCAATGGTACAACAAAACATTCCAACCGCTAATAATAATACTCCGATGACAACTACAGAAAACGATCACGAAATAGTTCAGGAACAAATTCCATGGCAAACTCCATCACACACTAAAAGACGTAAAACTAAGGAAATAAACCGACCTGTTTTAAATACAATATCACTTCAAAACAGATTTAATCAGTTGTTAAATCAACAAAATCAAGGCAAAACACAAACATTATTACCTCGACCTCCACCCATTTTTATTCATAACGTGAATAATTTCAAATTAATGAATAATGCAATCAAAGAAGCCTTTCCTTCAAACAAATTTTACACAAAAATTTTGCCGGACGAAACTGTAAAAATACATTGCTCTGATTCTGCTACTTTTCGACAAATGGTAACATTACTGAAAGATGCGAATGTAGAACGCCATACCTATCAATTAAAAGAAGATCGCGCATTTAGAGTAGTAGTTCGATACCTATACCATGCAACCACAACAGAAGAAATCACACCCACACACAAAACAGCCGCGTAATATGTTCTTCATAGACTTTGAACCAGCACCTAACAACAAAGACATTTACAAAGTGGACAAATTCCAAAATAGCATAATTGAAATTGAACCGCCAAATGTCGTTAACGCATCGTCCAATGTGGACGTTGCCAACAATTGAATCATACAAAGCGGTACTGCAACCGGATGTTCACATGTTCGCGTTGCGCCGAGAATCACGAACTCAAAGATTGTCCTCTAGATGAAGATACGGTTCCGACCTGCGCCGTGTGTAATACTGTAGGCCACACGTCTAAATATAAAGGCTGTAAACGATATCTAGAATTGTATTCACTCAAATATAGATCGACGTCAGTTAATAATAACAACAACAATCAGGCGAGTACAATAGTAAACACCCAAATTCGGGATCTCGTATTTCTAACCCAAAAGGAAAAGAACTTAATTTTGTAACTCAACATAACAACTTTGTTACAATATCCACAGGTACTCCTTCCTATTGGTCTAGTGATCCGGCGAGAATACCTGACTTACTCGATTTTTTCATTTCGGGCGGCCTGCAATTAAACACCCCCCAATAAGATTAAATGCTTCCGACTCTTGGGCAAGAAGTGACTCTGAAAAAGCAAACCTGTTTGCTAATTATCTATCATCTGTCTTTTCGGTTAATGATATCAAGTCACATTTTAATATTCCTAATTCTGAAAACACTACCTCAGACCTTAACAAAACTAGATTCTTCACCGTGAAAAGTGTTTATAATGAAATTAAACGTCTTAAAAATAAAAAAGCTGTGGGTATAGATTCAATTTCAAGCATAATCCTTAAAGAACTCCCAAGGATTTATTTTACTTACCT